CTCTGACATGTAGAAGGCAATAAATCTTTGCTACATGAATGAATCAATAAATGAACAAAGTGAGTATGAATGGCATGGCTTTACGAGAATGCAATTTAACAATTCTATGAAGAACATTAGTATTTCTACATTTATTGATCTCTCCAACTTACATGATAATAAAGATATTTATATCAATATTCTTTAAGAAGAAAACAACTAGATCTTCCAGGTAGGCCCTGCGCATGGCTCCTGGCAACCGTAGTTCCACCGACTAATTCACCAAAATGACTAACACAAAGGGAAAGGGGAGAGGCACCTGCTATACATTCTCTAGGCCTTTTAGAAAACATGGAGTTGTTCCTTTGGCCACATACTTGCGAATCTACAAGAAAGGTGATATTGTGGACAGCAAGGGAATGGGCACTGTTCAAAAAGGAATGCCCACAACTGTTACCATGGCAAAACTGGAAGAGTCTACAATGTCACCCAGCATGCAGTGGGCATTGTTGTGAACAAGCTAGTTAGGGCAAGATTCTTGCCAAGAGAATTAAATGTGCGTATTGAGCATATTAAGCTCTCTAAGAGCAGAGATAGCTTCCTGAAACATGTGAAGGAAAATTATCAGAAAAAGAAGGAAGCCAAAGAAAAAGGTACCTGGGATCAACTGAAGCATCAGCCTGCTCCACCCAGAGAAGCATGCTTTGTGAGAACCAATGGAAAGGAGCCTGAGCTGCTGGAACCCATTCCCTATGAATTCATGGCATGATAAGTGGGAAAAAATAAAAAAGACTTTGCTGATGATGATGAAGAAGGAGGAGGAGGAGGAGGAGGAGGAGGAGGAGGAGGAGACGACAACTACTAAAAATCTAAATCAGCGTCCAACTACAGAGAAAAGGACACTTCACCTCAGAGCCTCTGACTTTACAATTTGCTGTTCCCTCCTACCCTGGCTAAATCTTAACTTTTGTACTGCTTAGTTATTATAATATTTTATTATTTCTTCACATTACAATTTAAGTTATATATATTTTTATTTAAATCCTTCTTTCATACTAGCTGTATGTAAAGACTGTGTCTATTTTGCTCAAAATACATTTTATCCCAGACCTGTGTTGAATAAATGAACACCAATTAAGTCCTCATAGTTCATAGCACCAAGTCAATCTATGTGTAAAACTAGGAAGAAAAAAATAAAAAATATAAGTATGTTACTTTCAAATATCTGAAATACATACTAAGATAACAACAATAATAGAAATGAAGATGATAAGAAAGGAAGAATACAGAAATGCTGTTCTTTTCATATGAATCCCATAAAAGTATTTGGTTTTTAGTCCAGGTACATGTATAACTTTATTTTTTTTAATTAAAGATTTTAAAAAGAGTCTCTACTACATTACCAAAAGAAGCAATTACATTGTTAGACATAGATGCGAATAGGGACTGTTTATCCAAGAACATCAGCATAAGAAATAATCATTTCTTATATTACATCAGATATGTTGAAAGTAGGGGCCTGACAGCTTGGGAAAGCTAAGAGAACTGGTGGTTTCCTGCAGCCATCTCATCTACAAAGTGTGGGATTGGGAAACAGAAAAATTACTTCTGCATAGTTCTGCTTCTGAGCTAACTCTACTATATTCCTGAACATCATCTAAGCTTCGCTCATATTTGCGCACTTCTTATATAGACAATCTTAAAAAATGTTTAACCACCCGGGCCAGTATGGCTCAGTGGTTGAGCGCCAACCTCTGAACCAGAAGGTCGAGGTTTGATTCCCAGTCAGGGTACATGCCCTGATTGTGGACTTGATTCCCACTGTGGGGCAAGCAGGAGGCGCCCAATCAATGACTCCCTCTCTTCATTGATGTTTCTCTCTCTCCCTCTCCCTTCATCTCTAAAATCAATTTTTAAAAAATATTTAACCAAGATATGTTTATTTTCTTAATCTAAGACTCACGGGTGGAACAGTTATATAAAATCTACAAAAGAGAGAACCGTGCACAAAACTGAGGCAAAACTGTGCTTAGTTTGGACCAGGATTGACGTTCTGCTTACCTATACTTACTCAAAAGCTGGAGCAATCACCCTACCTGATATCAAATATACTACAAGGCTATAGTCATCAAAAAGAATGGTACTGGCATGAAAACAGATATATAGATCAATAATACAGGGGGCTGGATGAAAAAGGTGAAGGGATTAAAGAAAGAAAAAAAAAACCTTCTTAGACACAGACAACAGTATGGTGATTACCAGAGGGAAAAAAGGGTGGGGGACGTAGAAGAGGGTAAAGGGGGGATAAATGGTGATGGAGGACTTGACTGGGGCTGCTAAACATACAATACAATATACAGATGATAGATTATAGAATTGTACACCTGAAACCTATATAATTTTATTAACCAATGTCACCCCAATAAATTCAATAAAAATTTTAAAAAGGCAAATACGATTTATGGTCTGCAAAGATCCCTAAGAGCCAGGATTATTTCTAGCTTGACCAACATTAGCTCCCCACTGTCTAGCATATGGGAATACTTAAATAATTACTGAATAACTGACTAGTGATAAACAAGTTTCAGAAGGGTTTAGTTAGAGTAATGCATAACAGTCACAGTAGTCTATAAAAGATAAATATTTGAAGCTATATCATAACCTTTTACAACGAAAACTAAAACTGCCAAACTGTGCATGGTATACCTTCTGCATCACATGTTGGAAGTAATGAAGTATAGCTCTTAGACCATGGGCTCTGAATTTGAAGTCAGACAGAATTGAGTTTGAATTCCAACTCTGCCTCTTACAAGTTATGTGACCTTGCCACCTGTAAAACAGGGTAACTTCTACCTCACAGGGTACAGTATATGAGATAGTGTATATATAAAGCTCTTTGAACACAGTAAGAGCTCAATCAATGCATCAGAAGGAGCTTATTACCCGGACTGCTTCCTAATTTTTGAAACAGTTCTCACAGGGCTATACTACTGCAATAGTAAACAACTAGTCAAAAAAAAAACAAAAACAAAAAAACTAGTCAATAAAAATTTGAAACTGGACATAAAAACTACTTTAAAGAAGTAATTTAAATTACTCAGAAGACCTTAAGTTATTCAGAACTAAACACGAGTTACTTTTGTGAGTATTAAAAGTGATACCTCTAATTACAACCAAAACAAGTTGGTAGCCTGAGAACCACCAAAGGAATGTGCTCAATCCAGTCAGCACTCCTAACCACATGAGGTTCAACCCTCTTGTTAAAACTTGAGCTTCCTCTTTGCCTTTAAGTCTGTCAACAAACTGTGTAATAGATGAAAAGGTAGTCTCTATTAATAAGAGTTGCATTTACAAAACCCTTTCCTCTGATCACGACATAGAAACAGTTCCCTGGGTAAAAAGAAAAAACCTATAAAAACCAATGCCAGATTTTAAGGCCTTTGTCCATGCCTTTGGCATGGTACTTAAATTACAGACCATGTTACAGGACCTTGAAAAATGTCAGCTACACATCCTAAAAGGCTAAAGAAAGAGGACACTAAGTCCATGCCATACCAACAGGAATCTTCTACCTCTGCAAAATCAAGCCAATCTTCAAAAACAAGAAATACAAAACCCCAAGTCCTAAATACCTAACAATATGATACATAATTATATGATCAGATGGAATACCAAAGTTCATCATAAGTGATCTATCGAAGAACAAATACATTTTACTTAAAATGTTAAAAAAATAATGAAGTCCAATATGCTGGTTACTTCATTCTTACACTACTGACACCAAAATCCTGCACTCAAGAATATCCTGATTCCTATTAAATTTGCATGTTTATTTATAAATATTTTAAGTAGTAACCATATTACCCAAAAGAACAACAACCAAAAAAGGCAGGGGAATTCTAGCTGAGACACACACACACACACACAAGGGGCTTCTAATGAGTTTGGTGAATATATTTATTAAAGGTACAAATTAAAATTCTATTGGCCCCAAGCCTCCAACTGCAAAAGAACCACACAATAGAAGTCCCCTGTCTGCCCCCATCTACTGAGGAGATGCGGTATTTAGGTCATGCCATAAACCAGAATGTAAATAGTATAAGCTGCAGTATGCAATCCCGACTACACTTCACTGAGCTGTGATCCTACCAAGCCTTTTCCTCTTTTAGGACATTTTATTTTGGGTCATTCCAAAGTGGAATATGTAGGGTTTAAAAGGCAAACTGGGACCTGTTAGGCAATTTAAACATTTATCAAAATCGGAACTTACTCTACGCAGATACACACATATAAAGTTAGTTTTGTTCAAGGTCATGTATTACATTATTGTTTCTAATTTTAAAAAGGGACATTTATGTTTTTCAGTAATAGGGAACAAGTTACGTAAATTAAGGAAACCCAGGTAGCTTATATGCAGCTATAAAACTCAACGAAGCATCTCTCAGAACACTGACTTGATGAGGAAAAAAAACCTCAAGGTACAAACTAATATGCTCCTATCTGTTAGGAAAGAGCAGAGTGGGAAAAATATATTTATATATTTTTTGCATAAAATATAGCTATAAGGATACATAAGAAACTAGAAAATCTGGCTGCCTCAAGGTAGGGGAAATGGGAACTAAGAGTGGGAGTGGGGATGAAGTGAATGTTTAAACTAATTCTAAAACACTGATTTTTCTTAAGTGATTGCTAATTTTTAAAACAAGTCCTTTGTAAATCTGTTTAATCATTTATAAAATGGGAGGAAAAAATAATACCTACTTAGTAGAGTTACCATGACAAAATTGAGATCTTGCATATAAAGTGATTCCCACAATTCCTAGTCCACTTTTCAAAATCATTTACAGCATCTCTGGCCCTTATTCCTTGTACTTTGCATGGTGTTGCACACCTAACTGTATCTTAAGCAACTACTATGAAACAAATGAATGAGACCTTTCTGAAAGTATCACCAGATTTCCCATCAGATAGCATTCTGCAAAAGTATTGTATTTTAGGAAGTCAACCATCTTCATACTTACAGGGATGCTCCAGACCTGTATTCCATCACTGTAGCCAATCATAATCAGCAAAGGCGGCTCATTCCCAGTGCTGTGTATTTCATGAAATTCCAGATTTCTTGATGTATCTACATTAGAATTAAATAACAGGAATTAAAAAGACACAATGTCAGTTAAGATAGCAACATATTTCTTTAATTCCATTAGTACTACAATTGTCTCACAATAAAAAATAAGTGCAGAAGTATTTGGAAGACCTCATTAAAGGAAGTGAACATCCCAGCCAGTGCAGCTCAGCAGTTGAGCAATGACCCAAGAACCAACAGGTTGCCGGTTCGATTACCAGTCAAAACACATGGCAGGGTTGTGGGCTATTCAGTTCACTGACACCCCTGCCTCCTCCCTTTAGACTCACCTTAGATACTCCTCCCATCTTAGTTTTTTATCAACCATCTCAGTAATTTCTGTCAATAATCTACATTCTCTTATCCTTGTTTGTGGGATCTTTGCATAGCATCCAAATAGCAAAGCCCTATTCCTAGATGAACCCAACTACCCACTATCCTAGTATGTTCTTTGGCAGCCATATACTGACATAGAAACATCATTGTGAGAAAAAATTGGTACACTATAAATTAAATTACCTCCACAAGCTTCAACTGGATGCTCAAAACTGCACAACAAATTTATTGTTTCTAGAACTTAATTTATAATTTCTTCAATGACTTTCTTAAACTTTGTCCCAGTCCTGACTCTGCCCACTCTCTCCTCACTCCAATAATCTGTCTCATACTGCACAGGGGAACTACAAACTTTCTGTTGCCAAAGACCGATTTGCATCTGTGGCAGCCTCTTCACCTTCCATTCTATTACAAATAGTTTGCTTTCCTGCTGTCGAAAGCAAACCCTCCATCTGTGCTTTGGGTCCCATCCTCCACCCCTTCTCAGGGGCCCTTTTTCCAATCATTCCTTTTCTGTTTCTTCGATTCCTTCCATGCTATTGGACAGTTTCAAGGAGCATTTACACATGGGGAAGTGTTCCCTATTTTTTCAAATAAACCAGTAGCAGGGGATTTTAGATATAAATAATGTAGATAAAATTAAACTCTGAAATATAATTCAGAAAAGTATTTTCTTTTTTTTCTTTTTTTCTTTTTAAAATATATTTTATTGATTTTTTACAGAGAGGAACGGAGAGGGAGAGAAATACAGAGTTAGAAACATCGATGAGAGACATCGATTCAGCTGCCTCTTGCACGCCCCCTACTGGGGATGTGCCACAACCCAGGTACATGCCCTTGTCCGGAATCGAACCTGGGACCCTTCAGTCTGCAGGCCGACGCTCTATCCGCTGAGCCAAACCAGTTAGGGCAAGAAAAGTATTTTCATGATCACAGTATAAGGAAAGATTTCTACATACACACACACACACACACACACACACAACTCAGTGAGACAGGCCAGTAAGCCGAGGCAGAATAGGGAAACTAGTTAAATAGCATTTTGTAACCATCTAGTAAATCCTATCTTCCCTAAATCAGGGACACTTAAGAGTATATGATTTGCACTTGTTCTCCCCAACCAGAGGGTAAATAGCTTAAATCATCCTGCTCAGGGAGACAGATAGCAGAAATCCAATTAGTGCCATTTGCTAACCACACCCAAGGACAGATGAAGTTAAGAGAATAAATCTCATTTTGGTACATCAGCATAAAGCTGATGAATATTCTATCGACATCCTCCCTAAGACTTCCCCTAAACATGCAGCCTTTCAAACCCCTCAAAAGGATGGTCAGAAGATCCAGTGCATGCTCTCCCTCTCATCAGCACACCTGTGCCTGTGCCTCCCCCACCTCCACCCCTGAACCTTCCCCCCTCTTCTTTCCCCACAGGCAGGCATCTCCTAAATTCTAAGGGACTCCATGAGGATTGCAGCCAGGGCATCAATGGGTAGCAGCCACTAATCCCAGACAACCCCCCTGACCCTGTCCCCAAGGGACCTCTTTTCTCTGGCTTCTTAGTGGGCCAAAGAAGATTCGCCTAAGCTGATTTCCCCAGTTCGTTCTTATTTCCCTGTCTGCAGCTTTAATAAAAGTCCTCTAAAACTCACCTGGACTTGTGTTGTGAAATTTTTCCTGCACAAAATCAAGAACCCACACACTACCAGCTGTCCCTAGGCCCTAGACCAGTTCAGGGCCTGGTCCCCTTTCCAGTAACATTAGCACAAAAGATTGGCAAATTCTACTGCATTATTTTTTACATTAAAATGAAGAACTTCTGTTAATCAGGAGCCACAGGATGGGAGAAGAGTCTTGCAACAAGCATAACCCCACAAGGACTCATCCAGTACATGTAACAATTAAAAATCTATATGAAAGATAAGTCACTAGAAAAATAGGCAAGAGACATGAAACAGCACTTCAAAAAGAGGATATTCAAAAGATCAATAAAACATGAAAAGTGGCTGGACCTCATTTGCTGTAATCAATGAAATGCTAATTAAAACCACAATGACAAAACCAAGTGTTGAGAGGATGTGGAGCAAATGGATTGCTTATTCAATGCTGGTGAATTTAATTAGTACAACCACTTTGGAAAACAGTTTGACAACTTATTCAAGCTGAGGATACCACGCCCTTTGACAGCAGTTCCACTCTAGGTATACATGCTCATTAGAAGCATTAGCACACACACATACACTAAGAGACATGCACAAGAATATCCATAGCAAGACTATTTGAAAAGAGCCAAAAGCTGCAATGAATGCAAAGGTCCATCAACAGAATCAACAAGCACAGTGTTATATTGATACAACTGAATACTTTTGAGCACAGAAAAAAGAATGAACTACCTTACTACCATACACCATAACATGAATGAACCTCACAGACATAATGAGCAAAATAAACCAGACACGAAAGACCTTATATTGAATAATTCTATCTATATGAAATTCAAAATAACCAGGAAATTCGTAATATTCTTTTTCTTACCCTATATGATGGTTACAGAGGTGTTGGGTTTGTAAAAATTTCACTGACCTATACTTTAATTTTGTGTTCTTTACCATGATGTTTGCACAATATAAAGGTTTGTAAAAATCATAAATTAAAGTAACAATATCCTTCTCCCGGTATTTGATTTCATCACTCTCCTCTCCTAGAAGCTGAATTCCTCGATTGAGTTGTTTATAACCGTCATCTATTTTTGATTTTTCATTCACCCAAAAATACATTCCAAGATGGTTTCTGCCCCTAACACTCCTCCAAAGTGTGACTTTTGCTTTAGTCGCCAATCATCTCCAAGTTGTTGTTAAAGAGAAAACCATAGGCCCAAAATGGCATCCCTCATGCTGAAAGTCCCTGATACCAAACCTAAATTTAATACCTGACCTAACTGCAATTTCAACCTCTCCCAGAAACTTATCAGTCTGGAATTTTATGGTCAAGCACCAGTAAGGTTATCTGTTAAAAGAGGACCCTCTCCGTCCTCAATCGGTATAACAAAAACCATTCAGGCCCTGGCCAGTGTGGCTCATTTGGTTGATCATCAGCCCATATACCAAAAAGAGTCCCTGGTTCAATTCCAGGTCAGGGCTTGTGCCGTTTCAGGCTCAATACTCAGTGTGGAGCATGCAGGAGGCAGCGATCTCTCTCTGTCTCTCTCTTCCTCTCCCTTCTTCTCTCTCTAGCACAATAAAAATCTTTTTTTAAAAAAACAACCGCCTGTATCTCTTTCCCCCAATGATGTTCAGCCCAAAAACAATCCTTTCTTTTTTTTCTCCCTTGCTCCCTTTTTCCTAAAAAAAAAAAACCTTCCATTTTGTACAAGCCCTTGGAACACCCTCCTGGTTGCCAGAAGGGGTGCTGCCCAATTCATGAATCACTTGTAACCCCCCCTAATGAATTTTAATGAATTTCTTGTAACCCCATACAGCTTCCCCTTTGATTCTGATGTGTAAAACTGCTTCCCGGCATTCATCAGTTTGACTCAAATAAACTCATAAAAATTCTCTACAGGTTTGAATGTTTCCCTTTTCTTCTCACAGTGTACCCTCCCCTACGTGATCCCATTGCTTCAGTTAGTGTCTCTTCAGCATGAGTTGTTGGATATCTCAATAGTAGAGCAAATTCCACTCAAAGATCATTATTTTTCTCCCCAAATCTGATCTTCCAAGGTTCCCACTTTCGGTGAAAAAGCAACATCAGGAACCACCTTCTTCCTTCCTTCTAGCAATAAACCTCCCCCTAACCCTGTCTTCCTAAACGGCTCTCTTCTTACACCACCACCCTGTCCCAGCTCCATCTATTCCAAAAGCATAACTAACTTCCCATATCCACCGCTGCCCAACAGTCACAGTGCTCTCTCTCTAAATCACAAATAATGACATACCTCCTCACCTCCATTCTCTACATTAGGGGCTTCCTGCTGCCCCAATATAAAGATCAAAACATAGCTTATGGTCAATAATGTTTTAATGCTGTTTTTTTTGTTTTGTTTTCTTAAAAAAAAGGGGGGGTAGAGGGAGAGTTAGAAACATCAATGATGAGAGAGAATCACTGATTGGCTGCCTCCTGCACTCCCCACACTGGGGATCGAGCATATGCCCTGACCCGGATTCAAACTGTGACCTCCTGGTTCAACCGCTGAGCAACACCAGCCAGGCTTAATGCTGATTTTATAATAGAAACTCATTGACATAAAGTTAATAGCACATGATTCTATTTCCAGCAAAATTCAGAATTATAAGCTTATTTTCATAGGGCATAATTAATTCTCTGTATATCTAACACTTAATGGTCATTTCTAATTTTCAGTGTGCTTTGGTATAGATACATCATCTAATCTGGCACACATATACAATCCTGTTTTATATGCAGAACCAGAGCCAATTTCATTTTATCATTGACAAGTTAGGAAAATCTCAGGACTTTTTTTTTAATAACGCTTTTTATTTTATTTTTTTGTTAATCCTCACCCGAGGACATTTTTCCATTGATATTTAAAGAGTAGAAGGGAGGAGGAGAGACATAGAGAGAAACATCAATGTGAGAGAGACACACAGATGGGTTGCCTGCCCTATGTACCCCAACCAGGGATGGGGACTGAGCCTGTAACCGAGGTACACGCCCTTTAATGGAATCGAACCCAGGACCCTTCAGTCTGAAGGCCGATGCTCTATCCACTGAACCAACCCAGCTAGGGCTCAGGACTCTTGATACACAACCTAGTCATCTTTCTACTATAGCTACCTCCTTGATCACAGGTTGTTAGGTTTAGAAGGGCTCCAAGGCCACATATAAAAACCCTGAGGTCATTATAAGAGCAAAATCTCCTTTCTCTTAATTTAGATTATGGTTAGTCACTTGTGCTATTTTTCTTTCTCTGGGTGAAGATAAGCACATATCCCCTCCTTCTAAAGGGTGACCACCCTCAAGATAACACATAATCTTATTAACTGTCCTATGATCCACTCCTTGCTTTGTCTGTTCCCACCTTCAAGTAATCTTTCTTAATTTCAAATGCATTAAAGAAGCTGCAGAACTCTCTGGAGCATTTGAGATCTTGCTCCCCAGCTTATGTTGTCAGTTTGGCTCAAGTAAACTATTCTACAAATTCTCTACAGGTTTGGATCTTTCTTACATTGACACAAGCTATATGAGTAGGTTTCAACAAAAATCTCCTATGAAAACAGTATGGTGGTTCCTCAAAATATTAAAAACAGAATTACCATATAAGCAAATAATCCCACTTATGAGTATATACTCAAAAAGAATTGAAGGCAGGCATTCAAAGAAATATCTGTACACCCATGTTCATAGCAGCATTATTCACAAAGCCTAAAGGTGTACATAACCCAAATGGAACATCAAAGGACAAATAGAGAACAAAATGTGGTACACACATACAAAGGAATATTACACAGCCCTAAAAAGAAAAGAAAAACCTACAGATGCTACAACATTAATGAATCTGAGGACATTATACTACATGAAATGAGCCAGTCACAAAAACACAAATACTATATAACACCACTTATGAGGAACTTAAGTAGTCAAATTCAGAGTCATAAATAGAACTGTGGTTGCCAGAGGCTAGTGGGAAGGAGAGAATGTGAAATTGTTGTTTAATGGGTATAAAATTTCAGTTTTACAAGATTAAGAGTTCTAGATATCAGCTGCATAATAAAGTGAATGTGCAGTAAGTCCTCCAACAAATTTCATTCAATATCATTTCATTATAATATTGATGAGATACTGTAGGAAATTAACTCTTGTTTATATCAATTAGCCTATGTTAAAACTGGTTTCCTTACACTTTGTTTCACCATAGTTCTGAGAACTTATCCACAATGTTAACTGAGGACATACTGTACTTAAAGACTATTAAACCATACACTTAAAAATGGTTGAAATAATACACTTCTATGTGCATTTTACCACAATTAATTTTTTTATTCCCTTAAATCAATCACGTGCAACTGAAGAAGGGGCTATTAAATATAAAAACTGGTACCTAAGTATAGTACTAGACTTCATATTAGAATTGGCCAAGTCAAGAAAGGCAATGGGGTGCAAAGAGTTTCCCCCTCACAGATTAGAGACTTGACAGTTCTGGTTATACTGTAGCGAACCAGCTGGATAACCTAGTGTGCTCTGGGTCTCAAACCATATGCACACCTTTAGGGAATTTGATAGAAAAATATCAGGCCCTAGCTGCTTTGGCTCAGTGGATAGAGCAGGGGTCCTCAAACTTTTTAAACAGGGGGCCAGTTCACTGTCCCTCAGACCGTTGGAGGGCCGGACTATAGTTTAAAAAAAACGATGAACAAACTCTTATGCACACTGCACATATCTTATTTTGAAGTAAAAAAACAAAACAGGAACAAATACAATATTTGTATTTGCATGTGGCAAACAGGCCGTAGTTTGAGGACCCCTGGGATAGAGCATCGGCCTGTGGACTGAAGGGTCCCAGGTTCGAGTCCAGTCAAGGGCACATGCCTGGGTTGCAGGCTTGATCCCCAGTATGGGGTATGCTGGAGGCAGCCGATCAATGATTCTCTCTCAATGATGTTTCTATCTCTCCCTCTCTCTTCCTCTCTGAAATCAATAAACCATATTTAAAAAATATATATATCAGGATATGAAACTGCTTTGGCTACTTCTTTTTCAGTATGGTACCTTAAGGAAAACAAGCTTAGGCATGAATCAGACTGTCTGGATGAGAAACAGAACAGTGATCATGATACAAAAGGCCCTTGTCCTACTCTCTAATGACCTCCAAAAGTAGTCATCTCTACCTAACGACAGCCAAAATTAAAGCATTGATTAGGAATAGAGATACCTAGGATGATGCAGGACTGGCTCCCCAACCCCCAACCATGATAAACCGTATCAACTGGGATGCAGCCTGGAGGGAAGGGGCTACCTGGCAGCACTTTATAATTTTAAGCAAAAGAGCAGAGCTCCCAGGACTATTGGAAGAAACAGAAAGCAATCACCAAAGCAGAGTTCAATTCAAACACTGCATTATAGTTAGAAATGAAGAAGGAACAGGAAGGACTTATGCTAATAAACAAAGAAATCTGAGCCATTAAAAGAAAATGTAAAATATAGTAAGCTTTCAAAAAGAGATACAGTAGGAAAAGTTTATAAGTCATAAATAATCACCCCTACAAATGAATGTTTTGTTCCCCATAAAGAGGGCCCAAGAGGTTGTCATTATTTGAACGAACCAGCTGATAGAGAATCCAAAATTCAGAAGAAACCAATAGCAGAGGCAGTACTTAGCCTCTCTCAACCTGGACAGTAGCTTTTTTATTTTTTATTTCATGTTCTTTATTGATTTCAGAGAGAAACGGAAAGGGAGAGATAGAAACATCAATGATGAGAGAGAACCATTGATCGAGTCCACAACTCGGGCATATGCCCCTGACCAGAATTGAACCCAGGACCCTTCAGTCCACAGTTCAACATTATCCACTGAGCCAAACCGACCAGGGCCTGGACAGTAGCTTTTAAAGGAAAATAAGGCACTACATTCTAAAAGTCTAGAGGAGACAAAGATTCAAGAGTATGGTATCAATCAAGGTCCAACTAGGAAATTAAAACAAGTCAGTGTATTTGTAACTGGGAATTTAACTGGTAGCTGAGAAGGAACGGTGAGGCAGCCTACAAGATTAGCAATAGCAGGAAGTCATTGCTACCCATAGCCTAGGAAGACACAGAGGAGTGCAGGGTGCGGAGGTCACCTGGTAAAAACTGGACTGCCAGCACAACTGCCCAAGGGAACCTAAACCACAGAGAAAATGCAGCCACTGACAGGGAGAAGGAGAAAGAATAATACTCTTCCCTCTCTCCCATCCTCCCGTTCAGTTTCTCACCAGTGCCTCCACAATTCAGCCAGATAACAGACATGGTAGCCTGGGAAACAGACAGGGGGCAGCCGCCTCTCTCTTGGACTTAAAGTTTCAGGCTAAGCGCTAGGCCCTATGTTACAATTGCTTTCAGACTTGTACAATACCATATTAGTTCTAATAAAGTTTCTGTAAAAATGTGGTTATGCTATTTTAAATTAAACACAAATTTATTTTGAAAACTAAAAAGTTACTAAAAGAGAAAGTAATCTGACTCAAGAATCAGGTCACCCTGAAGCAAACATTGAATGCATAAGCCCCAAAAAGTTAAAACCATACCATTTAAATCTGCATTTTCAAATCTGACCCAGACTATTTTCTCCTTTTCTTCTGTTAGAGGTGTCCCACTGTAAGCCTGCACAGTAAACAGAAATGTTTGAATAAAAATATTTTACAGCTCTAATATTACTGATGTTCAAAACAAAGAGTAACTTAAAACCAACACTATCCCTCTACAATTTCACCAATCCTACCTTCATCTTGGAAACAGCACATTTTGTAATATTTGTACTCCCAAAGAAAGTTATCCAGGAGTCTGAAAACCTTGTTCAAAAGAGAGTTTTTAAGCTACTAAAATACTGCAGAAGCCCTAGCTCAGTTGGTTGAAGCATTGTTCCATTACACCAAATGGTTGTGGGTTCATTCCCGCCAGGACATGTATGGGAGGCAACCAATCAATGTTTCTCTCTCACATTGTTGTTTCTCTCTCCTTCTCCCTCCCTTTCTCTCTAAAAAATCTATGAAAACATGTCCCTAAGTGAGGATTTTAAAAAAATTTTTTGAAAAGAATTGCAGAAACTTAGAATATAATAATCATAGTATATTAGGAAATAGCACTATAATTTAAAGGCGCTCAAAAAACTAAATCATTTCCTATATTGGCCAACAAATAAGAAGTCTTCAAAAAATAAAACTATTTAGTTTCCATGTATTTATGATCAGGCTATTTACACTCTACCCAAAATTTTCAAGAGTATTGCTTTTTTACAGCATAGGAAATATAGTCAATAATTACTGTAATAACTATGTATGTACTAGAATTATTGGGGACATCACTTCTTACATTATAAATTGTCTAACTACTAGTCTATACACCTGGAACTAATATAAAATAACACTGAATATCATCTGTAATTGAAAAATAAAATGTTTTTTAATGCCTGGGTTGCGGGCTCGATCCTGAATGGGGGGCATGCAGGAGGCAGCTGATCAATGATTCTCATCATTGATGTTTCTATCTCTTTCTCCCTCTCCCTTTCTCTCTGAAATCAGTAAAAATATACATATTTTTTAAAATGTACTCCTTGATATTATAAATAGAATGATAGGATAGTATATCCATATGACCTTATTCCCTAAATCATAAAACAATTAAAAGCTTTATTTGCTTTTCTTTTGTAGGCTTAAAAATACAACACAAAAACACAAAAATAAATTCACTTGTTTGTAGTCACACACACAAAAAGGAATATTACTTTCTTCATGCATCCAGTTGGAGGGCAGTTTTGGGGGTGGAAAAAAAGTATTACTTTTTCAGTCTCTGATCTGGCCTCTACACCTAACCTATTAGCTAGTTTCTACAAGCCTGCAAGGGCCACAAAGATAAACATAAACTGCCCTGAAGTCATGGGAAAAGTGTCAAGGGTTCTCAACAGTAGTCAAAGGAAGTCATCTCTCCATAAAGCAAGTGTTTTTATTGTATGAATATACAAATATTTAGAATGTCAACAAAAGAGCTGCAACATTTTCAATTATAAAGTGGTTCCCAGTTCAGAGAATTATTATTTAATATGGTATATCAAAAGCATACAAAAACTACCATCCCATAATTTGTGTTATACATGACCTGCTTTAAATTTCCATACCATTTAAATGTCCCTGTACTTACCATACAAAGGTAAAGGACACTGAAAATACTATTAAAAGACAGTTACTTTAATTGTACTATACACAAAAAAATTCTTGATTTCAATTGTCTTTAAAAAAAAAAAAGTGAGATGTGAATAGGGCAGTTAATTTCTTCGAAGAGAAAAACCCACACTATAACCAACTTTACCTTCAACCATCTCACCCTTATCACCAGTTATCTTCTCATCCTTATCTTCTTCCTCTTCCTCCTTGGTCTCTTACCCTTATCATCCTTGAAAACTCTTTTTTAAAAATAATTTTTTATTTTGGAATAATTTTAGATTACTAAACAGTACAGAAAGTTCTCAAATACACCTTACCCAGGTTCCTCTAATGTGAACTACCTAGTATAACTAAATCTTACCTTACCATGGTACATTCGTCAAAACTCTGAAGCTAACTGATGCATTACTACTAATTAAGGCCCAGATCTCATGGGATTTCGCCAGTTTTTCCACTAATGTCTTTCTCTGCTCCAAGATCCAATCTAAGACATATTACATTTAGGAGTTCTTTTTTCCTATCTCAGGCTCTTCTTAAATCTTGTAAAGCAGTAACATTTTATCAACATTTCCTTCAGTTTAGCAAAATTATCAAGTTGCTTATCACCTGTAGCATTATTCAATATTCTCCCTATTCCTTTGCAACATCAGAAGATGCTGTCCTTTGACTTCTGGGTGATATGCAGAACAAAACAAGGCTGAAAGAAGCCTTTCAGTATATGGGGATTCCAGAACTTCTTTGTTTTCCTCCTCAGGGAGAAATAAGATTTTCATAGAAAGGCTTGAATACTTTTGTTACGTCTTCAGGTTTTCCTCTATCCTTCCCAGACATGGTGTTCTCTATTAAGCATTCCTGAGAAAATTCTGTGAAGCTAACGGAAGCATCTGAGTATTGTTTCTTGTGTGCCTTCCAGCAGGTTTGCATGAAGAAGGTAGATGACATCATGTCATTTTGCCTCTCAACTTAAGATAATCTTTGCCCATGTTTAGTTATTTCATTCTCAGTGATGCAGACTCACCCAGTGCCCATACAGCTTTCACTGGCCGTTTTAATAGTGGTTAGCAGACTACCAAACTGATGCTTTTTTAGTCAGGGAATACTGGCATCACCACAAGAAAGCAGAAACCTTCCCCTTCAGTAATTCCACTAAACATTGCTTCCCAAAGCTAATGTTTCACATGAATCACCTGAGATTCTTACTACAGACACGAATTACTAGATGCCACCTCAATTCCACTGAGTCAAACTCTCTGGGAGAGGGGCCTGGAAATTACTATTTTCAATAAGCGTGTCAAGTGATACTTATGTTAAGTCTGGGCATCAGTGCCCTAGAGGTGATTCCAGGAGGGCAGCTCTCATTCTTCATCGCACCTGGACATAGAGGAGCTTACTTTCTCACAGGCTAAAGTAACAGGGCATACTCTGTGTAGCATAGAAATACTGCTCAATATGAAAGAGACGTAGATTTGTGCTCAGTATTTAGTTAACATAATACCTAGTTAATGAAATGTAAAGCATGTGTTGCTTGTCTCACTTCAGTCATGCATCATTTAACCAGGACAAGGGAAAGACTGTGGAAACAGAACCCAACTAGAGAGTCCCAAGTCCCATCCCTCAACTAGCATCTCACCTTGGTTCCTCTTAGGAGAGCAAATGCTGAGGAATAATAATGGTGCCACAGTCAGCACAAAACTCAGGTACATCTAGTAACACGTATAGTTTCTCACTACCAATATTCAGGATACTAAAACATCAAGTCTTTTTGAAGTTGATAATACTAGTATCAAGTTTAGGAAACAGTCCATTTCAGAGGCTCCCTGGACAAAGGTAAAACCTACTGTCCCGGAAACCACAAACACTTACCTGTGGCACAACATCCTGTAGAAAAGTCACAACACTTTCCATGTAGGACTGCTCCCTGCAAAGGGGAGAATTGGATAAAATTTATCATGACAGCTTAAGACAAACATGGGAAAATTCTTTCTAAGCCCTTAGAAGGTCACTCATATTTTTTTAAAAGCCTAATTCACATTACCTGATAATTCTGCTAACATTTCTCCTTTCATTGAATGTTATTAAATACAAATGAGATCTTAACCAATTCTAAACATGATCTCTTCTGAAAAATCATGCTATCTTAACACACTGTGTGAGGGAAACGTATTTATACGTTTTACGTTGACTGGTAGTAGAGCGCGGGACACGTATTAATACGTTTTTTATAGACTAGCGGTAGAATGCGGGTAACGTATAATACATTTATGTTTATACTTTTTTATTTTTTTTTAATATATTTTATTGATTTTTTACAGAGAGGAAGGGAGAGAGAAAGAGAGCTAGAAACATTGATGAGAGAGAAACATCGATCAGCTGCCTCCTGCACATCCCCCACTGGGGATGTGCCCGAAACCCAGGCACATGCCCTCGACCGGAATCGAACCTGGGACCCCTCAGTCCGAAGGCCGACGCTCTATCCACTGAGCCAAACCGGTTTTGGCAATTTTTATACTTTTTTATTGCTCTAAAGGGATGCTAACATGCAGATATACGAATTCCAAAGGACAAAATTTGGGTCTCTAACACATACAATGGTGAATTATGTATGTACTTCCAGGTATAACGGTAATCAATCTATTCAACTGCAAAAATGGCCCGCGCCACCTGTTAGTGCACGATAAAAACTACCCGCAAACAATGTGTTAACTTGAGATAGAGAACTTCTAACTCATACTTGAAGGAGTGATGACAGAAGACTTGGCTGAAGCAGAACCTCCCCCTTGAGTCTGAGCAGATTGCCCTAATTCAGGGGTCCTCAAACTTTAAACAGGGGGCCAGTTCACTGTCCCTCAGACCATTGGAGGGCCGGACTATAGTTTAAAAAAAAACTATGAACAAATTCCTATGCACACTGCACATATCTTATTTTGAAGTAAAAAAACAAAACGGGAACAAATACAATATTTGTATTTGCATGTGGCCCGCGGGCCGTAGTTTGAGGACCCCTGCCCTAATTAGACCAAGAAAACCTGTTGCAGATGACTCCGTATATAGTGACCTTCACTTTAAATTGGTTATGAACCTAGTCCCTTACATGCATAGAGAAAAATGAATCCATATTTTTCTACAGCTAACTTTTGCCATATACAAGACATGGGAAAGTATTAAAACACTCAAGGACACTAAAGTATTTTAAATGGGAAGTCAGCAAGTAGAGAAAAATAATTTCTTCAAAATACCAAATCAAATTCATTCCAGAGAGATGTGAAAAATTACATTTAGGGATATAATGAGATCCTAAATCCTATGTAAAAATATACCTTAGCCGAAACCGGTTTGGCTCAGTGGATAGAGCGTCGGCCTGTGGACTGAAGGGTCCCAGGTTCGATTCCGGTCAAGGGCATGTACCTGGGTTGAGGGCACATCCCCAGTGGGGGATGTGCAGGAGGCATCTGATCGATGTTTCTCTCTCATCGATGTTTCTAACTCTCTATCTCTCTCCCTTCCTCTCTGTAAAAAAAAAATCAATAAAATATATTTAAAATATATATATATATATATATATATATATATATATATATATATACCTTACATACCTACAGAGCTAATTAAGCCCAAAAACCCCAAAACATTTTGATTAGGCCTATCTCTCCAAACTCATTTTTCTGCCACTCCCTTAATTTGCTTTACTTCAGTCATATGCAACTTCAATTCCTAGATTATACCAAGCTCTTTCAATCAAGACCTTTACACTAGCTTTCTACCTAAAGTCCTTCCCATACTCTCAGCCTTCCCTTTCATATCTCCACCTAAACTGTTATTTCCTCAGAGAAGCCTTCCCTGATAGCCTTAAGTCATATTCCCCATTGTCATTCTCATCATAGCACACTGCACTGATCCAAGCCTGTAATGACTTTACCTTTACTTATTCACTGTTTCCCCCACTAGAATGTAAACTCTATTACAGAGAGGAATCCATCTTTCATATTTACCTATACCTTCAGAATCTATAAGCCAGTACTTAGGCATGGAGTTGATGCTCAAGCATTATTAAAAGAATACTGAATGAAGATATTTATATATATATATATATATATATATATATATATATATTTATATATATATTTATATATATATATATATTATTGATTTTTTACAGAGAGAAAGGGAGAGAGATAGAGAGTTAGAAACATCGATGAGAGAGAAACATCGATCAGCTGCCTTTTGCACATCTCCCACTGGGGATATGCCCGCAACCCAGGTACGTGCCCTTGACCGGAATCGAACCTGGGACCCTTCAGTCCGCAGGCCGACGCTCTATCCACTGAGCCAAACCGGTTTCGGCGAAGATATTTTTTAAACCACAAAAATTATGTATTGCATTATAAAAAGCAATAAATGTTGAATATAAAAGACAAACTGCCTGGATTTGATCCAGGTTCCCCTTCTTGGCTGTTACCAAAGAACAATTTACTTAATTTCTCTCTGCTGTGGCCTCTCCACCTGTAAAATGAAGAGTGAAATAGTACCTAACTCATAGCTAATAACATGCTTATTGCCACTGTCCATAGTTAACAAAGACATATAGCCTTGGGAGATGCAGGAGGAAAAAAAAGGAAGTTTTGTGGTAAAATATCTTATTACCCAAAGACTTTTGTTATTCTGAAAAAGGCACTTTTTATGTAACATGCTAAACTTCCCAAGGGAAATAATCCAAAATGTTACAATTCCCTTATGAACATTTTAAAAAACAGAACTAGGAGGTCACGACAGTTCAATTCCCGGTCAGGGCATATGCACCGGTGGTGGGCTTGATCTCCAGTGGGGGGGCAAGCAGAAGGCAGCCAACTGATGATTCTCTCTCATCATTGATGTTTCTATCTCTCTCTCCCTCTCCCTTCCTGAAATCAAAAATATTTTTTTAAAAAGCAGAAAAGGAGTTTCAACCCCTTAGCCAGGCATTGAAAGGTCTTAATTGTCCACCTCACCCTATTTCATATAGTAAGTCAACTTTCCTGTTTCATTCATGAAAATAGCTTGCCTTACCCACATCTTCTCACTCAATTCCCTTTGCCTAAAATGTACCCTTGATTCTAACTGCCCAAACACTATTCAGCCTTTGAAGTACACTATAAATGTTAGCTTCCTAACAAAACTTTTGAAATCTAAAATACTAAAATATTCACACAAAAATACTCTACATTCTCATGCTATTTTGCTAGCATCTTTTTTATTGATTATAGTGATCGCAAACATACATATCTTTTCCTTTTTTAAGTATGTTTTTACTGATTTCAGAGAGAGGAAAGGAGAAGGAGAGAGAGAGAACCATCAATGATGAGAGAGAATCATGGATCAGCTGCCTCCTGTATGCCCACTACTGGGGACTGAGCCCACAACCCCATCATGCCCCCTATTGGGAAATCCAACCATGATCACCAGCCGGTTCTAACATACATTTCTTAAAACCACATTAGATTATATGCTCCTAGAAAGTATACATAATAGCCCTGGCTGGGTGGCTCTGTTGGCTGGAGCATCATACTGTACACCAAAAAGGTTTGGGGTTCAATTCCCAGCCAGGGCACATACATAGGTTGAGGGCACCAATCCCGGCTGGGGCGAATATGGGAGGCAACTGATCAATGGTTCTCTCTCTATCTGTATCTCTCTTCCTCTCTCTCTCTTCCTCTCTTTCCCTTCCTCTTTCTTAAAAATCAATAAACATAAGGATTTTTTTAAGTAAGTATTCATATGCTTTGTCAAAGAAGGCTTAAAATATAGAAATGCAGCCCTAGACAGTTTGGCTTAGTGGATACAGCATAGGCTCCCAGACTGAAGGGCCTCGAGTCAAGGGAGTGTACCTCTGTTTCAAGCTAGGTCCCTGGCCCTGGTTGGGGCAATGTGTGAGAGGCAACTAATCAATGTATCTCTCCCACATCGATGTTTCTTTCTTGTCTCTTCCCTTCCCTTCTAATCTCTCTAAAAATCAATGGGAAAATATCCTCAGGTGAGGATTAACAATAACAAAAATAAAAAAATATAGACATGTACTCTTTATGACATTGACTTTAAAACTTTCTGGCTGACAAGGGGATTGTCAAGGGCGGGGGGAAAAAAGGAGACATATGTAATACTCTTTGTAATACTTTAAGCAATTAAAAAATAAATAAATAAATAAATAAATCCTCACCTAGGGGAAAAAAAAAAAAACTTTCTGGCTGGGATCTTAGTGCAGTGATGGCCGAACCTATGACACACATGTCAGAGGTGACACGCGAATTCAATTTTTTTGGTTGATTTTTCTTTGTTAAATGGCATTTACATATATAAAATAAATATTAAAAAATTTCTGCATGTGACACGGCACCAGAGTTATATTAGGGTTTTTCAAAATGCTGACACGCCGAGCTCAAAAGGTTCGCCATCACTGTCTTAGTGTAAGAAATACATTTTACATCACAATCTAGTAAACAGATATATCTCTGTATGTGCCATAAAACAATACTCTCAACTCTATTTTCTATTAATTCTATTTCTTTTTTGAATAATAGTCCTGATCCAGCAAATGGTTTAATAACCCACTAATTGTTAAACCTGGACTATGAAAAAACATTACTCTTTAAGATTTACATAGTGCTTTTCATGTACTGTGTAAATATGCTGAATACATCAATTTAACCCTCCAATTATTCCTTTTATTTGACCTTGGCAATGGTATTTATCATCCTACAAAGCCAAAATTAAATAGATTCTACAAAAGTAATCACTGTTCAAAAAGAAAACCTGAGTGTTACATCACTATTCTGAATAATCTTTCTTCAGCTATCAGGCTTATTCTGAAATTTGCTTACGTGGCAGCCTGAGGGCGAACCACAACTCCACCAGTACAACGACTGGGTCTCCTCGGGGAATCTGTAGCCATAGCTTCATTCACAAAACCTGTTTCCAGAACAGAAAATAGAAAAAATCATTGTTGGGAGTAGGGAGAAAGGTTTATGGTTAATTACCAAGTGTTTTTTTTTTTTTTATTTGAACCAAACCTCAGAACCACAAAACTAGCTAAGACTCTTGCTGGACCCTTTGATCTACTGTTAAGATAAACTAGAAAAGTAAGAGAACCAGATCATGGATGGGAAGTCTAGTGCAGGATCGCTTTATAAAAACAAATGTGCTACCTATGAGCCAAAATTTATAAATTTACTGAAATTTTATGTTGAGACAGTTAAAATACACATGGTACAATATTTCAAGACCAAATGGAACAGTAGGGTAATACCATCCAACTAAGCCTGTTGTAATCTGTAAGAAAGCGTATTGTAACTGTGGTAATGGATCATAACTAGACTGACTGTGGTGATTGTTTCACAATATATACAAATATCAAATCATTATGCTGTACACATGAAACTAATATATGTCAATTATATCTTTAAAAAAAAGACTGGATGGCCCAGCCAGTGGTTGAGCGCCAAACCAGGAGGTCACAGTTCAATTTCCGATCAGGCACATGTCCAGGTTTCCCGCTCCAGCCCCAGTAGGGGGCCTGCAGGAGGCAACTGATAGATGGTTCTCTTTCATCATTAATGTTTCTCTCTCTCTCCCTCTCCCTTCCTCTCTGAAATCAATAAAAATATTTATTTTTTAAAAAAAAATAAAGATTAAAACAAAGACTGCATGGTCATAATTAGCAAGATTTTTAAAAACAATTAACCCCCTGCTATTGGAATCTAATCACCAGAGTCTAAATAAGTAATAAAAACTTATGACATTAGAAGCCCCTTATCCTTTCCTCTCACATCACTGAATCCTCATCCCTAATAAGCATCTGAATCCTTAGGGAGGTTTTAAGAGCATGGAGCGTATTTGGTTAAGGTTTAAAGGAGGACTGACAGCAATATTAAATGTCTCTTACAGGGCTCAGGAGAGCCCACAGCCTGGAACTAATTTTGAAAAGCCCCTAAAACCCTCACTTCTAAGTAGGGAGCATTCTATCACCTTATTTGACAACTTTGAAACTGATGAGTCCCATATGCTACAACCAAAACACCCTGTGCCCGAACCAGCCCAGGTACCCCTTCCTCAATGGGTGTCTTCACCTCCAGCCCCTCAGCCCTCTCATTCCCACACCACCCTTTTTTTCCAAGCAGAACCTCCCAAGAACTGTCCTATGAGGGCCCTGTCTCCTGAAGACGACCGTGGCCAGTGCCTCAGGCCCCACTCTCCTGAAAGACGCTCGTACCGCGCTACCCACTTCACCTCCAACGCTGTGCCACCGCTGCCCCCGGCCGCCCTCTGGCCCCTTGCCCTACCTCTCTCCCCTCCCCCTCCAATCTCCACAGCTCCCCCTCGCCGAATCCCTGCCAGTCAAGCCCTCTCCACTCACGCGGCTTGCCCCTCGTCCTCTCCAAGCCTCCCCAAAGACACAGCCCCGCCAGCCCTCTCACCGGCCGCCCGCCGGTAAACGCTGTTCTCCAGCTCAAGCCTCACTGTTTGGAGTCCCCTCGTGATTGACGGCTACCACTTCCTACCACGCCTCAGCGGAACTACCTTTCTAGCCAATCCCAGAAGCCAGCTGCCTGCGGCCGGGCACCGCCCTTAAAGGTCAGCTTCGCCAACCAGCAAGTAGAAAAGAGGCGGACCCGCCTCCTGAAACTATCCAATCCGCTGGGGCTCGAGGAAAAACAAAACAGTATGTAAATTCGGGTAAAACCAAGGTGTCATGTTCGGTTGCGAACGCCGGCCGGAGGAATTACGGACATGTGTATTTTCCATTGCAGACAGCACCGTCGTGGGTCTGTCAGAAAGCATCACGCCCAGACTCCTGTGCACCTCACCTGAGAGCCTCAGGCTGGGAATCCGAGGACCCGGGGACTGGTCTGTTTACATGGAATTCTCGCGACAGCTGGTTAGACGCTCAAAGCACGTGGACATGGCAGCTGCCAATCACTTTTAGTTGGCCACTCATCCATTCCGAACCCGCCTTCTGCCCCGCCCTTGTAAATGTGTTTATCTTCCGGGAAGCTAGGTTGGTAGAGGGTGGTGGGCAGCCCTGAAGCTGAGGAAGTGCTGATCGGAAGGAGAGACGCGGCGGGTGATATCAGTTTAATCTAGGTTTATGGACCACACCTGACTCCTTCCTTCCCTCCTTCTGCCTCCCGTAAGGAAGATATCAAAATCTCGCCGGTGTTGTTTCGTTAGTTACATTTCTGTATAACAGTGATAGCATGTATTGACTTATTGAACAAACGCTCAGTAAATACAAAGGCTCTAAGAAGGAAGTGAATTTTGAGTAAGAACGAGAAAAATACTATGGTTTAAGCAAAGTGAAGTAGTATAGAAAACTAGTTAGGAGAGGTAAGCAATGGCCAGACGGACTATGGTTTTGTACAGGATTTATAAGGAGTTTCAATTTTATTTTAGAGTGAGAATCAGTTGGAGGACTTTAAGCTAGGAAGTGTCATGATCGTACTTACATTTCTAAACTATCATTTTACCTACTAAACAGAAAATAAACTTTTGCCAGGGAAGGGACAAGGGAAGCACTGGATCAAGTATGGAGGCTATTTCATTAGACCAGGTGGGAGAAGGGGTCTAGAAGTGAAAAGCTGTGAATTTCAGAATATTTTGGAAAAGAGAACTGAAAGATCTTGATAATGTATTGCATGGGGAATAGAGGAAAAGAGAGAATCAAAGAAGATGCCTGTGTTTTGAGCTTGAGCAACTGAGTGATGACATGTACAGATAGGATGAACAATTGTAACTTTCCACATTTTGTTTTATATTTCAGATATTTTTGATTTCTTCACATGTATTGTTTGTCAGGAGTGACTGAAATAAAAATATAATAGAGTCCATCATCATCATGGGAATGGCTTTAAAAGAAAACTCGTCAGAGGAATATTACTGCTTCCCATTGTCAACCAGTAAATAGTTGCAATTGAATTTCTTTGACTTGGTTTCATCCTTTGTAAACTGTAGAAAGACTATTATGTGCCTTGTAGGATTTTTATAGAAGTAAATAAATTTAAAGTTCTTAGAACTGTTAGGTCGAAAGGGGGTCCAGGAGCTGATGCATGCCTCCGCCAGGCAGATGGTGATGTAGATACTGGGCCCTTCCTAGATCCATAACAGGCCAGTGCACCAGGTAGATGGTGACGCAGATACGGTCCCGCCCTGGAATTCCTAACAGGTCAGCTACCAGACAGATGACGACACCTGGAAGCCGTGACAAACCCCCGCGGCAGGAACTCCCACAGCTCATGCTCCACTGCCCTCACTGAACAGCTGTATGAAAAAATGCCCCTACTCCCTCTCGGCGCGACTGCACTGGCCCAACCCCAAGACCTGTGGACCTCGCCCGAGAGCGCAGAATAAATTCTCCTCCTTCAATCTGCCGGAGTCTCTGACTCAGTTTCCTGCGCCCCGAACCTCACAAGAACCAGTTAGAAACTTCTCCAAATTAACTAGTTACTAATTAACCAATGAACTAGTTCTAAGTCCTCCATTTTTTTCTCTGCAGAGATGGTGTGATTCTTTCATGAGCCTTCAAATAAAAAATAAAATGAATGGTAATCATTTTTTTAATATGAGTGCTTAGTACATATTGCCAGCTCATGAATAATTTCAAAGTTAAGGGACCTGGGGAAACTTTTCAACAATCTGTTCTGACTGAGCAACCCCAGCTAGCAAATTCAGCTTCAGCATAAAAGAGTTCAAGTCAGAGAGTTCTATGTTATCCCAATTACTACAATGTCCACTATAATAAATCACTAATGACTAAAATTGCCTTTCCACCAAAACCGGTTTGGCTCAGTGGATAGAGCGTTGGCCTGCGGACTGAAGGGTCCCAGGTTCGATTCTGGTCGAGGGCATGTACCTTGGTTGCGGGGCACATCCCCAGTGGGGGGTGTGCAGGAGGCAGCTGATCGATGTTTCTCTCTCATCAATGTTTCTGGCTCTCTATCTCTCTCCCTTCCTCTCCGTAAAAAATCAATAAAATATATTTTTTTTAAAAAATAAATAAATAAAAAATAAAATTGCCTTTCCTACAGTCCCCAGGGAATTGTCAAGGAACTCTTCATACATATGCAAACAAAATGTTAAGGTCACTTGACATTTTATTGTGTATTTGTTTAGATAGGATTGGGATTCCTTTTTTAACCTCAAGCAAACCATTGCCTCACTCTGGCCACCAAAAACACTTGGATAATAATCATATGATTTAAGCAGTGGTGAAATAATTTGATTTCACATAGAACTATGGTGAACATTAATATGTTAACTTTCAGTCAAATAAAAGGAAAAACAGATTTTTTTGTTGTTGTTAATCCTCACCCAAGGATATTTTTTTGATTTTTTAGAGAGAGGAAGAGAGAGGGAAAGACAGAGAGAAACATCAATGTAAGAGAGACATATTGATTGGTTGCCTCCTGCACGAACCCTGACCAGGGCCTGGATCGAGGAGGGGCCTGCAACCAAGGTATGTTCCCTTAACTGGAATCGACCCTGGGACCCTTTGGTCCTCAGGTTGATGCTCTATCCACTGAGCCAAACCAGCTAGGGCAAGGAAAAACAGATTTTAAAAAAGGTGGCTATATAATGTATCATTCTACCCACAAAACCTTGAAATGAGACACTGTTAGGGCCAAAAAAACAGAATATTGGGGACTGACTATGGTTATGGTAAATATTAATCATGCTCTGTGTTAACGAAAAAAAAAGGATTGAAACCTGTAAAGAATTTTTGTGAGTTTATTTGAGCCAAACTGTCGACATATGCCAGGAAGCAGAACCTCAACGGATTGAGATAGTGCTCCGGAGAATGGTGGGGTTATATCCGTATTTATACATTCTAATCAAAGGAGGAACATAGATGGGTTACATGAAATTCATTGGTGATAGATTAAGGAGGTGGGATTAAGCGAAGCAGGGAAACCTCTGGGATAGGATAAAAAGTAAAATGATGGACACATACTTAGGTGGGTGCAGGAACAATTACCATGATGATGAAGGAAATTGTTGTATCTGTCCTGGGACCCAGCACACCTGGTTGTGCCCCAGGGGCTCCAGATACAAGGAAGTCACAAGTTACTCTGACATTTCAAGGGTATGTTATCATAGATGAAAAAGACAGATAGGCTCAGTTGACCTTGTCAGTGAAGATACTGGCCTAGGACGTAACTGCCCACCATAACTGCTTTTAGTTAAAGTCTAATTTCAGTCCATCCTTTGTGGTTATTTTAGGTCTCCGAGTCTGCAAAACTGCCATGCAGGCCTCTCCTGAGCTTGTCAGGTCAGCATGTGGCCCCTTTCGTTCACACATCCTTCTTTTGGTCATAAATCAATCCAAAGGATGCATTGATGACCAATCTTTTGGTTGGATAATGGAATCCCATGTTGCTAGGAAGGCTCATTCCTAGGAAGTCTCAGTGTCAGCATGTTTTGCTGAACAGGTGGACCACTGGGGATGGGGCAAGACTATAACCTTAGATGGCATTTGGTCGAATTATTATTATTTAAAAAGGGCAGGTAAATGGGAGGCAGTCAGGTCCTATATGTCCTTGTTAAAAAAATAGTCTGGATCATTTCTAATTTTTGAGCCACCATGATCCGAGTCTTTTTGCTGTTTGTCAAGTTTTGTCTTTCTGCATCTAGTATAACATTTACATACCAGGAACAAAAGTAACAATACTAAACCAACATTGATTAGGAACAGAAAATGTCTAATACTAGACGAGAAAAAAAGTCTGAGGGTAACAAGCATCTCAGGCAACCAGAAAACCCTTTACATGTATCATCATAAATTTTTATTAAGCTAATTATATGTTTTCCTCCTTCATCCACTGTCACTTGTACCTTAAGATACGTTTGGCTAGATGAATTAAGACTCTACTATTTCATTATCTAGAAGCTCTAATTTCTTTTGGCCAGTTAGTTTCCATAGAAATGATTTCATGGGGAGGATTAAGTTCAATTTCCCAATACATTGGCTTTTCAGTATCAATGTTATCATAGGTTTTATGAACCTCAGGCAAAGTTATTCTACCTATAATTTCAGTATTTACACCATATTCCAGTATTATTTAATGTAAACTTGGTGATATTATAGTAAAAATCACTTCCCTTTCCCATATACCAGTTATTGTTATTTGTTGGGGTAGATACAATAGGCTGGGACTGGGTGAATTCAGTATTCCATATGGATTGGGGGCATAACTGTTCACCTTTCCGATTTTCACAATCAGACAGTGAGATAGATGGGTTCCCATTGTTTATCATTTTTAAATATGGCCCATCTACTTCCCATTGGAAGTATTCTAGTATTATTGAGGATGGTCCCTATGCCGGCCAGTTGAACCTCTGGGAATTTAAGCTTAGGATCTAATCAAGGCACCTGGGCTTTTAAGACACAACGTCTTAGATCGCATTTCCCATCTAAAATTTTCCAAATTCCTGGGGAACCATATGAGTCCCGTAAGTGCCTGGCCTGGGCTTAGGGTACAGGCACGTTCCCATTGTTGGGTTTGTGCATGAGTTTTTACAGTCTGTCATGTCTGTTCTCCATGCTGCTTTCCACCCTTTACAACTAGATACACAACATAGGGGAATTTTCTGGGAGCTAGGTCTGCCTCAGGCGCTCTGGCCAATAGCGGCCGGGTGGTTTGGATGGCCTTGCCAGCTTCTTCTGGCCTGCTCCTATCCTGCCTGCCTCTTCACTTCTGCTACTAAACCTTACTCTGTCCCTTCTTACACACGCAGAACCGGACCCAAGGCAGTGAGGTTTGAGCAATTTTAAAATTCCTTAGCATACATTTTATTACTCATGTTGCAGGGAGGGACCGGGTTGGCTCCCCCTGAATAAAAGAACTAATCAAAATAAGGCTTATTTTCTAAGTTCATTTGTCCCTGGGTGTGGACAACAAATGACACTAATCAGATTGACATAAACTATTTAACCTTTGTTTAGGGAGGCAAATGCAAATCATTTACTCCCAAGTGTCCTTGGTTTAGGGAAGATAGGATTTCTGCTCAGTTTCCCTATTCTACTTGTCCCAGCTTACTGGCCTATCATGCATTCAACTTTCTTTCAACATTTCTCTTCCTTCTCATCACATACACAACCTTCACAAATTTCACACTTTCAAATTAGCCTTCAAACCTTCTTTCTATGTCCTTCAAAAATGCATAACCATGCCTCAGACCTTCCATTAAGTATTTCTCTTTACCTTCCTCCATCACAGCAAAGCCATACTTTCCAGTTAGTTAGGACTCTTAGCCTTAATTTTTAGGTGACATGTAAATAATTAACATTCCTCAGATTAGCAATACATTCATTTTTTTTTTAAGAGACACAAACAGAAATTTCACTAGCTAAACAATTTTAAACAACAAAAACACATACTTAAACAATAAAGACAGATAACATGCCCCATTAAAAACTTTGAGTCACCACGGCAAGCAATATCAGTTTGTGAGCATACAGGCCTTGTTGACGTCGTCTTGGGATAGCTGTCTGCCTCCGTGGTCAGCGACTTCTCGTCCTCGAAAGGCCTCAGCTGTTTCTCTTCCTTGAAAAGTCTCTTATCTCCGTTGCAGATGGAGATGGGTGTCAGAGATAGGAGTAGATGTCCATTCACAGTCAGGTGCCTTTTTCAAATGAGAAATGTGAATCCAGAGCTAACTCCTTTAAGTTTAGCTGGACATGGGTCAGTTAGTAATACCGGGTAAGGTCCTCTCCAACGAGGTTGGAGAGAGTCTTTTATTTGGTGTCTTTTCCAACACACCAAATCTCCTGGTTGTAAGCCATGATCTTTGAAATCTTCATCGCCCGGGAGTGCACTGCGAAATGAATCTGTTACCAATTTGTTAGTTCCTACAATGCAGAATGTCTGCTCTTTATTTTTCCTTATATTTGGGAAACAAAAGATTTAAAAGTCAACAAT